GAGAAGCAAATGAAACCTTGTAGCCAGGGGTTTGTTTCAATATCTTTAAACCTATAGTGGGGTTGACGATCCAATTCTTTTTGAATAATGCCGAGCTTCAAGCATAGGCTGCTTATTTAAGGAGGCGCAAATCCTCTAAAGTCAGGCTAAGTCCTAAGGGAATTCTTCCATTCTGGCAATTATTACCAACTAAGTATCTTAACTACAGGTAATAATGGTGGATATTGCTGGTGAGTCATCATTCATACTGAAGGGAAAGTTGTGTTGAAAGTCTTACTGAATAGTTTCCAGTTTGTGGCCTTCCATAATTTCTTTTATAGTTTCATAGACTATAAGGAATAGGAAAAGATCTGTTGTGGAACTGGGGAATGCACCAAACTTGATGATGATCATTATAACACCAACCAGACGATTGTCATGCCACAACACCTTTTTCTGGAAATCACAATCTCAATGCCTACTAGATCAGCATGTGAAATAACTTCTTATGAGAAACAGCACTTAACAGGTTATGACACCAGATATCATATTAATTCTATTCAAGCGCCTTCACATGGGATTGAACTGGTATCTTGTGATTTGACTTGTGAAGTGTTAACCACTATACTACAGACCCACAGATCTTTTAAATATTAAGTAAATAATTTATACTATATATGTTTTCTTATTATTATAAAAAGAAATTTAATCGACAATATAATTCTGAATTAAATATGATTTCTAATTACTTTTTAATTATTACTTAGTAATATGAATATAATATAATTTTTAAAAAATATTTAAATTAAATACAAATATACTGTATATATAGTTCATACAATATATAAGAATTATATAGAAAGTAAAAATTCTATTATTAGTTTAAATAATCTAATTTATTAAGTTCAGTTTTGATTACATATATTATAAGAAAAATATATTATAAAATATTAATATAAAATTAACCTCAATTATTTTTATTTACTTGTTATTACTAATTCTTGAAATATACTATTAGTATAATATAATATTAATATTCTTATTACTTGTAACCTTAGAGTTTTTACCTAAATTTTGGTTAAATCTTATTTTAATTCTTATTAAATTTATTTGAATTTAACAATTTTTTGTCTATTTTTTTCATTTATAATTAATGATTATGCCTTATATAGGTCTATATTTTTAAGTTTTGTAAAATACTAATACTAAGCTATATCTCAAAGCATCAGTATAGAATATACTGATTTAAGATCTATTTTTTTATAGTATAATAGAGTTTGCTATTGTCTTTTTGAATTAAAATTGATAAACTTTTATTAAAGTTAAATTAGAAGTTTTTTCAATATACAACCTTATTTGTTTTAACCTGTTTTCAGCATATAATTGTTAGGAAGACTAGAAATTCTATCTTTATGAAACCCAACTAAATTTCAATATAATTAAGAATTATTAAATATAATATATATAGAATATTCAATATATATATATATAATAAATGTAAATTAACTTTTTGCTTCTTATAGATATTGGATTAGAAATATATATTTAAATATTTGGAAGCACTAGTTATTATACTTTTAACTTATGGATAAGAATAGGGTTTTAAATTATTTAGTATATAAAATTTTACAATCAATTATATTTTTTTTAAAGAATAATATAATTTATTCAGTATTTTAATAGGTTAAAAAACAATTGAATCAAGTGATCTAATTTGCAAAATATTTTTATAAATAGTTTTTCTTTGATTTTATAAAACTTTTTTAATAATAAGAGACATTTGAATTGTATTTTTTTTAATTTAAGACTTATTATTACTTATAGGTCTTATTGAAATAATTTTAATAATTTTTTTTAATAAATTCAAATTTATTGATTTTTTTAAAATGTTTTTTAAATTAATATTTAATAATATTTTAATAATATATTGTATTTAAGAATATTTATAAAATAAAGTAATTTTTTATTTTCAAATATATATATATTTATATTTATTTATTTTTGAAGGTGGGCTGAAAATTTTTTAGAATAATCTTAAAATTTATATTATATACTGTATATATTGTTTAAAAGTTGGGCCTGAAAAAATTATATCCAACATTTTTGTTACTTTTAAAAATAATTATCCATATATTTATAATATTTTATTTATTTATTAGTTATTAAATTATAAGTAAAATTGGAAATATAATTTATTTTAGATTTTTTGAATCAAATTATATATAAAATAGTTTGTAGATAGTAATTTTTATAAAATAAGAAATATATATATACTGTATATTAAACAAAATATTTATTTTAATTGATTTATTAAAATAAAAGTAAAATTAATAAAAAATTAAAAATTAATGATAATACTTAAAATAATTTTATTAAAAGAAATTTTTTAAAAGTAAAATTGTAATAAAATTATAATAAAATTTATTATTTATAAGAAATAAATAACCTTTTTAGATATAATTTGTAGTTGTATAATTGTTTCAAAATATAAATACCTAAGATATTTACAGGTAAAATCAAATTAAATACCTTATTTTAAATTTTTAAGTAATTAAATTTTCAAGTATTTATTTTTAACTTAATAAATGATATTAACTGATTATTTAATTTTAAATGATTTGTTTTCAAAATTATTTATTATATAAATTTTATATGAATTCAAAGAATTTTTTTAAATTCCAATGAATTATGTAATCTTTTAATTTTTAAAGTATAATTAATTTGAATTATAATATGATATGATAGAATTTATTTATTTTATAAAAATATATTAAATTAAAATTCAATATGTATCGTATATATATAATATTTATTGAAAATTTTAACAAATAGTTTAAATTATATAACCGAAAAAAAAAATGTGATAATTTTTTTATCATAAATAAAAAGTAAACTATGATTGATTTTTGCAATTTCAAATCAAAATTATTTTTTATAATTACACATTCAAAAGCATTAATATTTTAACTATGGTATTTTTGGTTAGCGTATTATCTTGATATAGATACAGTACTTGGTTTTTATAAAGAACACTTTTTTTTAATTGGATTAAAAGTTTATAAAAAAAATAAATAAGAATAATGGCTTCTTTTTTTTTTTTTTAAGGGATCGTCAATACTACATGCTATAAACTGAATTACATAATTTATTTATTAATATACATAGTATTGTCTGATTGCAACAAATAAATAAATAAATAATAATCCATAAAAAGTATGGTCTATACGTAGGTTGAAATATGGAATCATTTGACGTTGATGTCAAAAAACAAAAACCGGATTTATGCATCGTTAAACTTTGAATTTCAAAAAAAATTTTTGTCATTTAACTAAAAAAAGATACACAGTATTTTAAGTAAGTTGTTTTGCACAAAAAAGCAAAATCGTCAAAATAAAAATCGCTTTTTAGGTTTTTGCTACAAAATTTGAAAAGTTTTCTAAAAATAAAATAAATGAGAAAAATTTATTAGTCTCACAAGAGGTTTAATGTAACAGAAAAATGACAAAGAACCCAAACTGATAATGTTTGAAGATAAACATGTAAGTGAATAAGTATTTCGCGAATTTTGTTTACAATCATGTGATAACACATCATGCATGCGCAATCCACAGTATATTCAAAAGCTTTATTACATTGTTAATACGCGTTAATAAAATAAGGTGTATCTTAATAAGATACCAAAAATCGACCTGGCGTTTTGTACCCTTGCAAAAACAATCACTCATTTCTCGCTCGGACATCTTGCAGCAGTGTTGTTTTGAAAAATCGAACTCCATTAATCAATGCGATATTCTTTTGGAAAGATTGTAATTTGTTTATCTCGTTAAAATGATGCTCTATAATTAGGCTTTATCCGATGAAGAATGCACTTTAGTTTTAACAGTTTGTATTACAAAGTATCACAGCATCACCGTATACAGTACAGTACATCGTGTGTAAAACTATCGGTGACATTTATATAATGTATCTCCGACGACATTTTGCGTATTAAAGTTTTCACAATTTCGGCGTCTTTACCCAACAAAATTTTTTTCATTACCATTATAATAAACACTATGAACGAACCTTCAGGCAAAGAGAAGTGGGTCGATGAACTCGCACAATCCATCAATGATTTACAGCTAACGAAGTATGACTATGACATCTTTGAGGATATTGAAGAAATTGGTTATGGTTCCTTTGGAAAAGTTTATCGAGCAGTTAAAAAAGCCACGAAAATGGTCGTTGCGATGAAGGAGATACACATTGTTAACAAAGAAACCGCAGAAGCGTTTATCAATGAGGTATATGGTTATAATTATTTACTTTAAAATTACAAATTCGTAAAGCTAATAGAGATTATAAAACGCAATTGTTAGTTAAAATTACAACAGGCAGTTAATAATCACTATAACATCATTCGATTTTTCGGAATTTCTAGTAAAGGCAAGCATTCTTTTCTAAATTCCATCTACATTGGACGCGAATTTTCAGCGGGTGATTAACTTATTGTACGTGCATAATAATTTACAGATTGTCAAAGCTACGTATTAATCCTTGAGTATGCCGATGATGGGAACTTGCGAGATTATCTTGGTAGAAAGACATTAAGTTGGAGTGATAGGCTTCGCTTGGCTAAACAAATTACAAGTGCGATCGTGGACATGCATGATAAAGATATTATCCACAAGGATTTGGTAAGTGATAGTAATCATTTAGGATGTGCGCATAAAGATGATAACTTAGCCAAATAATTATGCATATTCTAGCATCCTGGAAATATTTTAGTTTGTCAAGGACATATTAAAGTTGCGGACTTTGGCCTGTCGGAAAAAATCGATCAAAAGACTAACAAATTATATTCCAGTAAGAGCAAGATCCAGGGAGTCGAGGCTTATATTGATCCGAAGTGTTTTGAAGAAAGCGGATATAAACGAACAAAAAAATCCGATATATATAGTTTAGGCGGTTTACTTTGGGAAATATTTAGTGGTGTTCCACCATTAGTAGGGAAAACAACCTCTGAATTAAACTCAGCATTGATGTCTGGAGATGAAATAGAAGTCCAGTCTAACCATAGCGAAGTTATTCCATTAGAATGTATAAGGATTTGTGATGGTTTGTTTGATTTTTCTTGTTCCAAGTACGATGAAATTTCATTTTCCTACTGCTGTATAAACTAAACTATACCATACAATTTATTAGAATGCCGGAAGGATAATCCAAACGAGCGACCTGACATCTCTCAAGTTTTTGAATTGATAAATTCATTAGATGATGCGCCTTCAATAACTACAGTTACAACCCCTCGTGATGGTCATGCAAGCAGTGGCACTGAAGAACTTGTGATTAATACGGAGCTTGTTATAGACATTCATTTGCGATCATTAATTACAGAGATTAAGAACGAACTTAATCGAGGCATGATGACAAATTTAGATTTAAAAAACCATATCCAAAAGTACTTAGAGAGCAAACAACAATCTTTAGAAAGAGTATTTATTTATTTGAGTGAACGTGCCCATCAAGAACCTAGTTTTAGCGTAATTTTAGGCTTATTTTATCAGCTGGGGATAGAGACTGAAGAAAATTTTGGAGAGGCCTTTACACGATACTTACATGCAGCGTCAAAAAATAGTGACATTGGTCAATATTTGTTAGGATGCTGCTACGAGACAGGGAATGGGATTCATAAATCAGAATCGGAAGCCTTTAATTGTTACAAAAAGTCATCCGAAATGGGGTTTCATGCTGCCCAATTTAAGTATGGAAGGTGTTTTCACTTAGGAATCGGTACAAAAGTTGATTATTCAAACGCCTTCCAATGGTATCAGAAAGCGGAAAAAGAGAGCTATATTGCCAAAAATAATCTTGCGGTGTTATATCAACGTGGAAACGGCGTCAAGAAGAACCAAAGAAAAGCATTTGATCTATATTTGAAATCAGCAGATGCTGGGTTTTCTGGGGCGCAATATAATGTTGGAAATTGTTATAAAAAAGGTTGCGGGATTGATGTCGATAAAAAAGAAGCATATGGTTGGTATCAAAAATCGGCAATTGGAGGTAATAGTTTTGGACAATATAAACTTGGAAGGGCGTATGAATTTGGTAAAGGAATTAATAAAAACACTGACGTAGCCATTACTTGGTATAAAGAGGCATCCAACCAAGGAAATAAGGATGCATCTACGAGGTTGAATGCCCTTCAGAGGAGATCAAAGTTACATACACTTATTAGTAAATTAATCAAGACACAGAAATCAAATCACGAATGCATTAACGTTTCATAGTTTTAATTATTGACTGAAATTATTTACTTCCCTGTTATAATGTAAATGGTCATTCAATCATAAATTTATATATACATCGTAGATAAGGGTTTTTTTTTTTAAAAAAAAAAAAGTGATATCATTTTGTAAATATAGTCTCATATACTTCATGGAACTAATTAAAACGATAATTATTTATAATTAATTATTTAATTAATTATTATTTATTGATTTTATTTTATTTGGCATATGATCCTCATCAATGGTTGGCTGTTCGCAAAAAAGCGATACTGTATGCCAGCGCGAACCATTCAAGGTTTAATGTTATAGTAAATAAGTTAACCAATAAAATATTCCAAGACTTACGGATCATAATTACGATTGTGTACGGTATGTAAACAGTAAAATATTAATAATTAAATCAGTGAAAGATGGTGGTACTCGGTTCGGACGTCAACTTTGATAACACTAGAATCGGATATTATCAATAGTTATATCTTCACGGTAAGACACAATGGGCTTAGCTCTTCTGAAAAGCGAAAACGACAAAGAGAAATTAAAAACACGAAGGATAATGATTTACCCGACGTCAGAAGAAAGAAAGAATATAAGAAGTGGATGAGAACTGTAAGATAAACGTACAACAAGGTTTTAAGATGGTGAAGGACATTGGAATTACCGACATGAGTGTTATACAAAAGCATTACCTCCACGATGAGTACTTCACAACTAAAGAACTCCTATAGGAAAATAGAACCTAGGGAAGTACGTTCGTACGTGATTCGACAATTGATGGTCGTATATAAAATAAACAAGAAGTTGCATGGAAATAATTTTTGAATGAAGTACCGATCGAAAAGGATGGAACACAACCATCTCGATGCTTGCTAGGGAACAGAGGGAAATACACGTTCCTAAAATATTATTGCCTCATGATAAGATTTAACATAACTATGAATAATCTGGGGCATTTTTGCTTGTGTTTCTGTTTTTTTTTTGGATATCATCGATAACCATGATGAGAAAAGTAATCTCGCTCGATTCAGGTGTTCGTTCGTTTATGACCAGTTATGACCCTGTTGGTCAATTAATAAAGTGGGGTAACAATAATTTTAATAAAATATTTAAATATCTAAGAAATATGACAAACTACAGAGCGATAATGTTCTTGCTTTTGGAAGAACAAACAAGAGAGAGATTCCGATTGAGAAAAAAGATGCTACTACCATACGACAAATCTGCAATTTAATCAATGAGTGTCATCATCAGCTGGTCCGTTGGTTATGTAAAATTACGAGATCACTCTTTTACCCTAGTTTGAGTCTTCGAGGATTATTTTAAAGAACAAGCGAATAACTTGGTTGCATTTCATGTTTTGAATGTTTTTACATTATAAATCGAGAGATTTCGGAGGTTACAAGGTCTTCGAATGCACCGGAGAGTATACATCAAAGACGTATGGGAATTGTAAATCAAAAACGTTTAAATGTGATTCGTGCGAGGTGGAAACAGATCGGAACGCGAATGGTGCTTGCTCAAACGGGAAGGTCAGGTTTTCCCTGACTTTGGGACTTGCACCTATATGAGATACAATATGAATAGTAAAGACCATTCATATTGGATTTAACTTCAAAGGTACTGTAACATCTGATGCGATCGACCACGTGATTTCAGCGAGATTCAATACGCTACTGGACAGAAAGAACAAGAAGCTTGATTTGTTTGTTTTATTGAAATACATTATTTGAATATGTGTTTCACTCATTCAACCCACAAACTTCAAGATTAAAGTTGTGAGTATTCAAATGCTACAACGTTTAACAGTACATTTTTTCAATAACTCATACGCAATATTGCACTATAATGACCAGTGTATTTTATAGAATACGTAAAAAAAATTTTTTAAAAAATATACAAAAACAGACAAGCAATCGATATATACGTAGATTACAGTTTTGTTACTATTCGAAATGAACAAATAAACTTGCAAAAGCTCTGCTATTACTAATAAATAAAAAAATTATTTGTATTATTTTGTCTAATTATAAAATTTATTATACAGTTCCCGATGAAAACAATTGTTTTTATTCATTTTACATATTTTTGTTTAGTCATATAATCTTTTGATATCAATTGTAATTTATAACATATATTACAAAATATAATAAGTTGATAATTATTTGATTATTTATTTATTTTTACGATACCAGCCTAACATTGCCGATATCGATCTTGCTAAATCAAAGCGTAGATTGATCATACATATAATTAATTGCCAAAAAAACCAATAAATAAACAAATATTTATTTACTTATTTATTTTAAAAATTATTTATTACAATAAAAATTATTTAAAAAGTCTCGAATCATTATTTTCTTTTGTAATAAATAAAAGAGAATTCAATGAATCTGGAATTTTAAAAATAGGGTTTTATGGTTGATACTGTAAATTATTTTTACTACTGTATATTAAATTATAAATTAAAATTTGAATTAAAAAAATTTTTTTAAATAAACGAAACATAGTCAATTTAATATTTAAATTATTATTCGATTAAAATATTCATGTATATTTAAAAATAAAAAACTCGTTATTTTACTATTGCATACAATCTGTTATAAACATGAATAATAAATAAATATCATGATTTTAATTTTTTTTTAATATCACAAAATTTATAAATACTGTATTATCGTCAAATATTTAAAATATTATTTACTTATTGATAAAAACGATAATTTAATTTTAAAAATTTTTTCTGATTATATTATAAATTCAAATCAAATTTACGATTGTTTATAATTTCAGTAAATAAAATTTATATCTAGTATAAAGAATATAAATAATCAAAAAATATTTTTCATTTTATAAACTTGATTTTTTTAAATTGTTCAATTCACTTTTCCATATTTTAATTAACCTGCTTTTCAAAAGTTAAACTTTAATAATAATCGCGTACTTATTTGTTTGTTTATTGCAATATTCGTTAAATACTTTTTTTTTTAAATATGGGTAATTATTTTTGAAGGCAGACCGGAAATTTTCTGATGGGATCCTGAAATTTATACTATATATGTATTGTTTAAAAGTTGGGTCCAAAAAAATCATATCTAGCATTTTTGATGCCTTCAAAAATAATTACTCATATTGTTAACCAATATATTTATAAGTTTTTTGATAAATGTTTTTTTCTTTTAAAAGAAAACTTTTTAAAACAGAAATTTTTAAAAAATATAACAAACAGAAAAAAAGTTTTTTTTTTTTAATATTATATTAATCTATTTATTTATATCACATTAATAATATCAATAATCCAATATAAAAATTTTGAAATTATTAAAAAACTCCTTAATATCAAGACTTTTAACATATTTAAAATTAATTATTTTTTTATTCTACAATCTTTTTAATAATATTTTTTCAATACAAAAATTTTAACCTATTGAAAAAACTATTACATATATTTAATAAACAAAATCTTAATAGAAATATAATATTTAGAACACTTATTCTATAATATTAATAAATTTTTTTTATAAAATACTAATTTAAATACTTATCAAAAAACTCAACAAAATTTTTCAAAACAATAAATTTTTTAAAAAAGCAATTTTATTAATTTTTTAAATCAAAATATATTTGAATCAATCTAAATTTTAAACTTATCTTTAATAAAATTAATTAAAAAGAACTATTTTTTTTAGTAATTATTTTTTATAATCTTTTTATTATATCTACAGTATTATATAACAAAAGTTCAATCTTTCAATTAATATAATTATATATAAATAATTCAATTTCTTAATAATCTTTAAAAAAAATTCAACAAAATTTAAATATAATTTCAAAATTTTTTATACTTAATGATATCAAAATAAATTTTTCAAAAACAAAACTTATTGTTCTAAACAATTTATTTTCTAACAAAAATCCTATACAAAACAATATAATTATTATTTTAATCCAAAAAAATAAACTAATCAAAATTTTTGAAATCTGGTTTTCTTTATTACTGTAAAAGTTTAAATGTATTGTAACTATGATTCTAAAAATTGAAATCAAATAAACTTATATAGACTTATATAAGATTCAAAACATTATTAAAAATAATAGTAAGTTATAATCTACATATTAAATTTAACTGTTAATATAAACTTGAGAATTAAGAATCAAATTGTTGGAATTCTTAATTGTAACAGTTTAAACAGTAAGTTATATTTAATTAATTAAGAAAGAAAATCATAAAAAAACACAAGTTTAAAAAAAATAATTATTTTATTAAATCAAAGACAAAAATATAATCTGAGTTGTTATAAAGATCAAAAATCAACTTTAAATAGTTATTCTTTATTATATAAATAATTTATAAAATAGAAAAATAGAAATATATATTATAAATATGTGGACAATATGATGGTCTTAATATTAAGGATTCAAGGATTATGTACAAATCTAAACTTATTAATGAATATTTTGCAAAATTAGAATTTTTAACAGTATCATTTCAGTACTTGGTTCAGAACTCTATACAAAATAAAACTAGTTTGGCTTTAATATAATATTATATTGTATATTGTATTATTGTTTTCTAAAATTAGATTAATAAATGTTATTACTTGCAATCTGATTAGAGACAAATATATAAGTTATTTTTGATTCTTCTGAAAGATCTTATATATTATAAATATAAATAAATAAAAATAATAATATAATAAATGTTATATATATTTAGTAATAATATCATGTTTTATAATTGAAGATAATGTAAATTAATAACAAGTATCAAACAATTTAATTTATGTATTGCATTACATAATTATTTTAATATGAATATAATTTTTAAAAAATCTGTAATAACAAAGAGTACAATAAACGTGACGTGTTATACATATAAACTTATATCAAAAAAATATTTTTTTTTTGATGTGCCTAGACGTATCAATTACACAATCAAGGATCTTACAGTATTTACAGTATGTATATACATAGAAAAAGTAAAAATGATTATGTTTATTCTTTGAATATCGTGCAATCGTATAAATAAAAAAAAAAACATATTATAACTATATACTTTTTGATGATAATTATAATTATTTCTATAGAGAAATTTTTTACTGGCGTACGTCGTTTAATTTTAAGCTATAGCATTTCATCATTTATGTTATGAATAGCCTTTATCTAAGAATATCAAATAGAAAGCGTAAAGCGGGTTTTGGTTATCATCACGGGATTATAAAAGATTGAATCAAGTTAATAATTCTCCAGTCAGAATTTACTAGAAAATAGCAAATAGAGTTTTTCCACGCGATCCATGTATTGTATATTACATTATGAATGGTGCTTCTTTGTTCTGCTGTCTTTTTTAGAATTATTTAGATCAGCTCGAATTGGCATTATGTACGAAAACGTTATAAAGTGGAGTAACTTGGATAGTAAAAAAAAACAGCTTACGGTCACGCCAGCTGGGTCGTACGAAAAAACGCATTTGGGTATCTTATTCATGTATATAAAAAAAAACAGTAATTTTTCTTTTTTGGAATCAACGAACAAAATTAAAAATGAAAATTTTCGTTAGAAGTCAATACAAAACTACACTCTACAATGTAAACTCCTCGGATAATATTCTTAAATTAAAACAATTAATTCACGATAAATTAGGAATAGAACCACATGATTATAAATTGTCATTTGGTAGTAAATATTTGGAAGAGGAACATACATTCCAAGATACTGGGATTGAGGATTACTCGACCATTCATCTTTTGCATAGATTGCATAGATTGCTTGGTGGTAGTGGTGGACCGTTGGTTTCGTTCGAATTTCAGGATTTAAGCAAACCTATACAGAAAAGAAAATGGTCTAATTCAGCTCCCCGTTGGAGGGTTGCAACTTGGGGTCTCAATCTTGAAGGTAAATGTTATTGGAATTGAATTAAAACAGAATGAGCTCATATTCATCTTACAATTTCTTCTCGTCATAAAAAAGGGAGTTGTGAAAACATACTTTGCGAAGCTCACGGAAAATGTCCAGTTATAGTCATGTGGGGTTACCAAGACTTTGACTTTATTAATGATGAACATAACTGTAAATGTCCAATATGTGATAAGCACGTCAAACCCACCACCTGTGGGTTCGCTAATACTAAATGGAAATATGAAGGATTAATTAAAAAGTCAGGATATCCTCCAGAAAGGATTAATAGTATTTGGAAAGTCGCTGAGGATGACGGATACACGACATTCGCAGAAAATCATACTATATCGTGGAATAGTCTCGTGATTCGTGTAAAACCATAAATCAGTTTACGTAAATATCATTGCCTACAATTTGGATATATTGTATTTTATTCATATGTAAGTGGTTCAAGAAAGTTAGGAATAGTTAAATAATATATCTTACACGTTTTTTTGTTTATGATATTAATTAAAAAGTATGACATTTTATGGTTGGAAATAACGATCTCGATTCATTTATCAAAATTTTTAACTTTAATTTTGTTTGTGATCGGAATTTCTTGGAAATAGCGACCAAAAAGTTTCAGGAATCCTTCAAGTGTACAATATATAGCCTTCAAAGGAATTGATAATGACGAATAGTTCAGGATGGTTGAAAAATGTACAATCAATCAAAGAAGCCAACGAAGCAGCCATCTTGAATTGATTTCATGCATCAGTTGTAATTGCATGGTGGATTAATAAATAGATAAGGAAATCAAAATAGAATTGTAAAGGGTGAATCATCTAATGATCTTTTGTGCATTACTGAGGGAAGGTCACGAAACATAAGTGCAAATATAAAATAATTTGAAAGTCTGTTATCTGAAGATTTTTTTTTTTTTTTCAGATACTAATTACAGTATATTGACATTTTATAATGTTTACGTATTTGGAAGAAATTTTTTGTGCAAGTAATAGTAAATGTCAAATAAATATCACGAAATGGAGCTCATGATACTTTTTGGCAGATTCTTGGCGTTTTTTTGAAAAGATAATGTTTCCAGCTTCTCGAAGGCGGTGAGATACTGTAAATTTTATTATGCTTGAATCTAAGCAATTGGGAAAAAATCTTTAAATAGTTTATTATATATAAAATATACTATAGATAGGTTAACATGTAGACGGTATGACTGTTATTTTTATTAAGTCATAAAAAAAATAGTATTGATGTTACAGTTTATCATGTCGCGATTGAATTTTCTTAACATTCCCGAAGTGGTAGAATAAATTTTTGGAATTTATTAGTAACAAAATTAATGAGATTAATACTAATTATATATGAAGAAATTTTTTTATTTTCGTCTTCGTAGGAAACTGGGTAAGTTTTACAATATTGTATGCGGAAATGCGAAACGCAAGTGTACAACATAAACGCATCGTTGTAACCACACTCATTGATAATATTATTATCTGTATTTGATTAAAATTTTAAATATAACAATTATAAACAAAAGTCTACTGTATATGCATATCTCTATAAAAATAGTAAAATAAAAGAATTTTTATAATAATTAATAAATAAGTAATAAATATTGTAATTAATAAATTTATAGCAAAAGACTTTGTGTCTAAGAATCAAAACTTTTTAAAAATCTCTTTATTAAATAATTCTTTTGATGATTTTATAAATAATTACGATATTATTTAATTAGTTCTAATTACTTTTTGATAATAAAATAAATAACCTTTTTTATATCAATTACAATATCTAGTTACTTAACAACTTTAAAATAATTCTCATATAATTATAAAATATACAAGCTTACTAAAATTATTTATTCCAATTTAATTTAAAATAAATAAATTATTATTATTAATTTTATTAAAAAATTAAAAAGAAAATAAAGATCAAAAATATCAAATACAAATACAAATTTCTTTCAAATAATAAATTATTAAAAATCATACTAATTAATTAATTTTAATAACTTAAATAATTATATTTTTCTAATCATTTTATTTTTAGTTTTATCAAACAATTTTAATTGTTTATCTAATTAAATATTAAAATATTTTTGTTTCAAAAATTGTTTTATCATAAAAATTTATAAAAAATTAAAAAAAAATTTCTAATTTTTTAAATAAATTATATAGTTAAATTATTCTTTACATTTATATATTAAGTTATAATATTATTAAATAATATTAAAAAATATTAAAAAACAACAACAATATGATAAATTTTAATTATTCTATAATCATATTAAATTACATCTATAATATATATATAAATATACAATATATAATTCTAATTATATATAACTTCATATATATACTGTATATATAATACAAATTTAAAATAACTTGTTAATAGATATTTTACAAAATTGTATGGTTTAGCTTTAATATAATATTAATATATATATTATATTATTGTTATTTAAAAAATTAATAAACACTTAAAAAAAAAACTCTCTCCTGATCGCGTCCGTTTTGTTAAAAATTTTTCTTTTATAGTAATTTTAAGCAAGAAAAAATGTTT